GCTACCTCCCTTATTTCATTCAGTAATTCGGTTATTTTGAGTTTTCGAGTGTATGAGGCCGCTCAGTGAAGTAGTACCATTCAGCTCAGTGAAGTAGTACAATTCAGTGAAGTAGTTAGTAGTACCATTCATCTTAAAGTTGATTCAGCATCCCTTCGGACTTGTACTGCAGTGTATCCTTCAATTCCTTCAGTTCCACCAAGAAATTATCCGTCTCTTCACTTGTGCGATCGTTGATAGCCGTGATCTGTTCCTCGATGCCGCGTAACCTATTGGAGTTAAGAGTTAGACTCAGCTTTAATCCATCTTGGTCCCCTCATCAATCTCGATCACCCCGCTGTTCCGCTTGGATTTCATGAAGTAATACAAGGCAAAAGGGGATCAAGATGCCGAGAAAGATGGACACTAAATGTTCACCATAAAAGAGCATCAATTTCCGTAGTGTACACTTGTACAAGCAACTCCTTGCGCTGGTCAAAAACATCGCGTTGTTGAACTCGGATTCTTGCCAAGAGGGAAATCAACTCCGGACAGCCACGGAATTCCCTACTCTCGATTCTGCGCACAATTAGAAGATTTCAAGAACTTTTTCATGCTCGATAGAAAAAAAAATCTACTTAGATCTTCTAGACAACGGTCCTAAGATTCTTCGAAGGACTTCTTAGAAGTACTGAGCACTGCGACCGTGCCCGCCCTAGTGAAAGAGGCAAATGAAAAGTATTGTAGCACAGTTGTATCCCGCCCTGGGTGTTGTACAACTGACTACTAGTAGCACGCTACTAGTAGCACTTCTGGTGCTACTAGCTACAACATCTTCCTGAGGAAGATGTTGTCGTAGTATCCTCCAACTGCAACAAAAAAACACTCTCCTCTGATCAAGAACAGGAGCATAACAAGACAGTCTCGACAGCGGTCTGATGGCGTTGTCTCTTCCATCGCAACAGGCCTTCGTACCATCTTCTCCTGTGCTTCTTGGAGTTTTCCATATTCTGTTCCCTCAATTTCGTCGATAACTCGGATCCCTTCCGACTATTCTCCAAGGACAGCGTGTTCACCACATGCGATTTTTGGTCGACTATTCTCTCCACCTCTCCAGGACTGCAGTGAGCTGCGGCTGTGCAGGAGTTTACCATTACCGTTAATCGGTCGAGGGCCTGGCGCTTTCGGAAGAGCTCTAATTCCTGTAATTGGGTATCGAACTCCTCAATTTTTGTACCACGGGCAATGATACCTGGAGTTCATCATGAGTCTTATTTGTGTCGATTTTTTTGCTCGTCGATTTTTTTGCCTGCACGTCAAGAATGGGTGCCGCAAGCTACGTCACTGTGGATGTTTTTCTTTGCTCCCTCGTCGTCAACGGAGAGTTAGATGAATTTTTGAAGATATTGATTCAGAGTGATGAAAAATATTTATACCTGCTTCCAATCTCGTCAGCAAATCCTGAACCCAGGCCTCACTCTGTTCCCCCAATGCCTCAATATTCGTCTCCAGAGGCTTCAAAATCTTTTCCGCTTCTTGATCCATCTCCTGCAGGTAGCCCTTCATCGCCTTCGAAAATCCTTGCAGTTTGTCGCTACAACTCGAAAATGAAGAAGGGCTTTCTTCAGGATTCTCGCTTGGTACTGATTCACTTCACGCAGCTCACTGATGTACCAACAACTTAGTCCTAGTGAGCATTCGAGAGGCTACAACAACTTGTTGAAGAGGGGATCATGTCAGAAAACGCGAGTAATGGAGATATTCAACTTCTCCTACATCAAATCTCTTTGAATTGAGCAACACATCAGTCGGATTGACGTTCTAGATAGACATAACTCATGCAATTTTTCTATCTCCGCTTCGCACTCCAAAACAGCATCGTCATGCCTCTGCTTCCGACTCGCGAGAAATTTTTCCCGTTTCTCGGATCGAAGTTCCGTGTCCTTCTCCCCTTCTTTGACCACATCATGCCTCTGCATCCGCGTCAAATCACTGTGAAGTTCCTGCAGGATATTTTAGGACAGTCAGTAGACAGGATCAACATCGGAAAAAAAATGTCTCACTAGAGAAAAGCTTCAGCTTGTTGACCAAGATCATACATAGGTCTCATCTCTACTACTTAGACCACATAGCTTGTAGCATACTGAAGATAATGTAAATAAGTACTTGTCTCCTAATAATGTTTTCTGGCGGTGGCTGTTCTGCATTTCGGTACTCACGCATGTATTTGTCCGCATCGATCTTGGAAATTTGGACTTGCCCTGTCTTAGATCTCTTCAAACACGAATACGAACGCAAGACGCTTGATCGTCTCAAGATGAATTATACAGTAAGCCTTAACTGTCGTCTTCCCAGCCGCCACTTCCTGCATGTGGCGATCATAGTGGACGCCGAGTTGTGACGGCGCTTTGAAGATAGCATCGAAGCCACTTGTTCTTGGCTGCTCCGCGGAGAGCAACACCGTCTGTTTTTTCGACGGTGCTGGCTCTTGCGGAGCCGAGGATTAGAAGAGGTAGAGGAGGGGAGATGGGGTATTAAGTCAAGTTAATCGATCCTTTTGAAAAAAAATTCTTAGCATTATAAAAATTCTTAGCATTATAAAAATTCTTAGCATTACATGCCATAATTGGAAGTGGTAGTCGTGTTCGGCATCTTGCCACGTCTCTTTGGAAGAGTCTCTACGCCTACTTGCCGCGTTATGCTCGTACTCCTAGTCAGAACGATGTACTAGTCGGACAGCAGTTGTACTAATGGTCGTAGTCTGTTGGAGGGTTGAAGGAAATTGTCCTCGTGATCGGTAGGCGTAACCACTGATATCTTAGGATTACTCTAATTCAAGTTTTGACTATCGTGACGTCTTTTTCTAGTCAACGAACTACGCGCCGCACTTCCGTGTGCTTACAACCTATGCCGTCCTCACGGTGGACACTTGCGCACCGTCACTGGTTATGCCCATTTTTCTGAAACTACGGATGTGAAATCCCGCAGCCTATGCTTTCATTGAAGGAAAATTGATATGCTTTGATGATTCACAACTGAACTATTTCTGATGCCGCTTTTTCTAGTACGACAGCATGGATGCATCTTTCTAAATCAGGGAGAACAGAAGCTTATCCCCCTGCATCGGCAATAGGTTTTTTCAAGCGTGTAGTTTTCTTTGCTCGTCTCAACCTCTCTCACCCTCACATTTTCGGGCATTGATTCTCCGTACTAAAAAATGTTGCGTCTCACTCTTCCACCTGTTTTATCGTAAAAACGCTCATCGTAAGCCTCAATCAATGAGCTCAGGTAGTGAACCCTTCACTACTACGAGGAAGCTTGAAATTCTTCTAGCTCCGAATCCAAGTTGTCTCCCTCATATGATTTTACAACTATCATGAAGATGGTAAAATGGAAGGACTATGCATCTCGAGGAAAAAACAATTACCGGTTACATTTCTGATTCTGAACATTTGTTCTCAGCTCCATATTTTCTTTGTAAGTACAACTGAATGAAAGGGTAACTTCTATCGATGCTGTAACGGAGTCTGAAGAAGTGTAAGTCTATCTATTCAAGAGCCGCACGTTTCCATTTTGCTCTAGCGCCGCCAGCAGGGTGAAGGAATCCTTGATATGGTCGTAATTTCCGTTCTGCAGACACTGTTTGAAGCAATACCTGTTTTGTACTTTATGAATGTAGAATGTGTAAAGACCAATACGTAGTGGAGTGAAGTTCGCTGTCTTAACGAATCTCATGATAGATTACTAGAGATGCTCTCAAATTACAATATCCAGAGCTTGCTGTAAAAATGAGTAGTTCAACTACTAACACCACCATGCAGAAAACTATGTGAGGAGAAAAACATTACATTATGCTTGTTTGGTCCATGCAGAGGGGAAGGCCCTTAATGCACTGCAACGGCGCAGCGTGACAGTTTTCTGCAGTCTTTAGAGGTGCTCTCGAGGATAGGAAGGAAACACGCACAAGCACCCTGAGAAAATGTTCTTTTCCTCAAAGAAAAGCAGTCGTAGTTGGCCTTAAACTTTGACGCATCAAGTAGCTCACCTCTCGGAATGCGGCAGAGTAATTGGCATGTCTCCGCACTTTAGCTTGTGCAAAAGCACAGGCCGCAGCAGGCTCCACGGAGACGTTCGCGCTGGGATCTTGGTCGCTAGTCTTGGTCTTGGTCGACATATGAAATCATCGAGGACATCGAGTCTCGAACAATCTATCTGTACGGAAACCAAGAACGTGAGCGAAAAAAAGACGAGGATTCAACAAATTTATAACTTCATCCCTAGCTGGCCATGCTCTTAGACTTAGTCGAAACAATGACTATATCAGAAGTGAATCTTGAAGATCGACAGGAGCGATATGAACTATTATCGGGAATTCGTAGTCATCGCCACACGTCTCCGGTGGGCATCTTCCACCACTGACGAGAGAACTTAGTTTTTGCGCGTTTCGATGCACACCGGGCGACGCGTGCGATCCCGTTGGATTTCTTTGTGCTCTGTGTGTGTTGCGCTATGGTCGTCATTGCAATCGACTAGGGTATGTCTAGTCGCCACAGTCTCCGACAACTTAGTTCTCATAAACTCACAGCACCATAATTTTCACTACAATTAGCCAACCAGATGAGTGGACTGCGTGATTGGTGCGCTTCTTCTCCCTCCAGTTGAGCGACACACTCTGGAGCATACGCGGCCGTCGGCGACATACACTCGCTTGCTACGCTGCGATAGTTAGATCAGAAGTGTAAGTACAATCGACGAGTAGGTAAAAAGTACAATGTTCATTGTAGCCGAGGAGTAAGTAAGTACAATAATTGTAGCGCATGAGAAGTGTCAGTAGTGTCATTCTTTTTATCCTTGAGGACATGGCTCTTTCGAGTTCTTGTCCGTTCACCTGGTCCGGATTAGAGTGAAGTCCTCTAAAAAGCTGTTCGCTTATCTCCTCGAAAAACTACACCAGCCTTCTTAAGATAAGTTTCCAACAACTTGGCTTCCCGATCGACGAATCCAGACAGCACCTTAGTCTGAATCTTGGCCTCAACACAAGGGTCCAACGATGGCGTAATCTCCGATGAGATGCGGCTTTTGTTAGAAAATGCGACTAGATACATAAATTGACTATTCGCGTCTCAAATAGTCATTCTAGACTACCAGCAAGACGAAACAGATTCAACAACGACGTAATGCGTTCAGCCTGATCAGGGGATACATCAATCAGTCAGGGACCGAAGCTATTGTTGGAAAATGCGACTAGATAATCTTAGATACTTCTAACAAAAGCCGCATCTCCTACTTGTTAGAAGTAGGAGCAGACTAGATCATTTTTAATATTCGAGAAGCTAACTTCGCGACCGGTGTATAACTTCCGATGAGATGCGGCTTTTGTTAGGAGCTGTGCTTGGAAGTACCACAAAAGCTACAAATCTACCTGCTTCACAAAAATTCTATGCCTCTTGGTGGTCAAAATCGTGTACTTTTGTGTTGCGGATACTCGTCTTAATCTTGGCAATGGTCAACTCTTGCGTTTGCGATGCTGCAGACAGCCACGAATCGAAAAAGTGCGCAACCGCCGAAGCCTTTCCTAGGAGGTTACCAAGCCCAAGGAGAACAAAACACAGCATCTTCTTCATTACATTCCATGTACGCAAGGTACATGAAAATTATGTTGAACTAATCATCAGTTTTTCATCTTCATTCTCTCCTTCAACAGGAGAATTACTCCGAAACAAGTGATCGTTGTTGGTCGTTCGTTCATTTTTTAATATTGATCGTTCGTCCATCTTCTATAATATCAGAACCCTATCAAGCCTTCAAGTTTTATTCTTGTGTCCACAAGCTTGCTGGTAGTCTATTAAAAACTGGGATCTTCTCCTATGACCGAGCAGAAGATAGTATGTACCAGTGCAAGCGGCGCATTCCCCTCAATCATGAGTCGCGTTGGTCCCAACGACCTTATTAGATACACATGCGATGGTGTAAACAGAAAATTTCACAAAGCTTTGCAGTGTTCCGACATGGTCGTTCCGGGTGTAGCATGCATCGCAACATATGTGTCAGTTAAGCGAGCATCTTGAAAAAATATTGTTGGCAAACAGTAAATTGGAAATGCACACCTGTTTTCAGTGACCTAACTCGATCCCCTTCGGCCACGCCCCCATCTCAGTACTTCAGCAAGTGCTGCTTTCATCAACACTTATGTCTTCAAATCAAAACTTCTCTTGGCAGAATCAGCAGGAAAAATAAAACGAGTACTAGCAGTACTCATCGGCCTCAAAAACTGAGTAAGCATAAAGTGCTGCATGACTAATTTCACGCGAATACACAGCACTTTTTCAAAGCCTCCAAATTTGTTCTGTAGTTGGAAAATTATATCCCGGACTTCATGGCGCAGCAAGCTCTGCTAATTCCTCCGAGAAGATTTCGGCAAATCGTGCCAAGTCACCAAAGGTGTTGTACAAGGCTACAGGTGTTATTCGCAAGGCATCCGGACTTCTGTAGTCTATGACAACGCCTTTCTTCTCAATCGCTCCATGCACCATGTGGTTTGGAGATGCTGGCTTACTTTTACTAAATGTACTTGTTCTCGTTCTCTCCCCAATTTTCACGCAGTGGCGACGTTCACAAAAAGCATATCGATTTTTTCTAGAGAGAAGCATAATATGAGTATCAATGTTCTCTATTCTGATTTACCATAACCTGCACAAATCACCATCTGCAAATTTGATGGTTAGCATCGAACCCCGTTTTCCTCGTTCCGCAGGCGTTACGATCGAAAAAAGCTTCGAGGATGCTCCAAATTTCTGACTTTTTCTTAGAAGAAAGCACACATGATCCACGTGTATTCCGTTTGTCTACATCAATGTTCCCGTGACAGACATGGCAATCCTTAACTCTTGTTCCAGTACCCCTTCTAATATTCTCCAGAGAAATAGGGTCAGCCGCTCACTTCGCAGCCTCAAGCGTTGCATAGACGTCCGGTCAAACACGCGCAAACTCGCAATAGCGCACATCATTTGAATTAGACGAGTGTTGCAGGGCATATCTTCAGGTGTTGAAGTTATGAGTGAACTTGTCTCATCAGAAACTGGAATTATCAATCTCAATGGAAATAAAGTTCATCATTAGTGCTATGTAGAAGTTGCACTAGTTGTGGTTGTCAGCCACATGATGTTAGTCACCACGGATAAACATGATGTTAGTCACCACGGAAAAGCAGTCCTAACAGCAAGACTCCTGGATTCGACAGTGAAAATGCCTGTGCGCCTGTGGCGGCTTTTAGCTCATGCTTCATTTCGAAACGGGTACTCTTATCGTGAGCCCACCAACCGAGGAGCCGTTTCTGGGAAGGAACAGCACCTGGAGGAGGTGCGTGAAGAGCAGTGCTGCTACGTACTAGTCGTTTAACGTGGATGAAGAGATTACGTTGACCAAGGAAAACTAGCCGGTTGTTTTCGTAGTACTAGAAGTGTCATAGTACTAGCAATTCAATTGTAACCATTACCAGGACCAGTGTCATCTATACCCTCTTGATGAAATCTCAGATATTACCAGGTCCACCCTCATCGTAGCCCTCTTTAAAATGCCTTTCATGGACGAAGAAGCCGCCTATTGAACCAGGTCCACTGTTCAGGTATGTGAATTAGGGAAGAAAACTGAAACTCCTATTGCCGTATAATATGTTCTTTCCGACATGAAGAGGGAGATGAAGATTGAAGCCGAATATTGGGATTAACTCGATTTATTTAAAGAAGATTCGAAGGGGGTCAGACTCAGATTGAAGAGGAGAAATATTGAAAGGAGTAAAAGATAAGGTTTAAGAGGAAGAAAAATCAAAGGGAGCATCCTTGTCTCCAGATCTTTGTCTCGAGCATTTTTCCAGACCATAATTGTAAGTGCAGAAGCATGCTGCGTCGACGTTCCAATCGTGCAGTTTGAGCGGCACGTTGCGGACGTTAGAGTGTCAAGTAGTTGTAGTTGTGGACATTCTCCAGGAGAAACCCGTTAGATTTCCATATCAACTATTGCTACACCTTACTGAACTCCGCCACTAGTCTTTCACCTTACAGTACGAGACTTATTGTCCACTGACTGACTGACTGACTGACCGTAGCAATCGATGTAGCTCAAGCTCTACCAGTAATTTTACCTGCTCTACAAGAACCAGTAGCTCCACATATTTCGAGATCATTAAATCTAAGACTGTTTTACGACCGTCCACCATAACGACTGCATGCGCTAGATCGAACAAGGCGATTACCCCGTTTTCGTGCGCCACTCGCGTGATCCTCTCCACATCGAAGAGTTGGCCCGAATAGTACTGCAATGCCCCTAGACACACCACTGCGATGCTCTCGTCTGTGCGCAAGATAGTTAGAATGAGGATAAAAGGCGAGAGAGAGAGAAAAACCGACGCAGAGGGGGAGAGAGAGATGCAGAGGGAGAAACAGACGTAGAGGGAGAGAGAGAAAGAGAGGGAAGAGGAGTAAGGAGGCGGTAGAGAGAGAGAGAGAGTGCGAGAGACAGATACAGAGAGAGAAAGCCAAAGAAGAAGGGGAGACAGAGAAGGGTGGGAGAAACGTTACTCTACAGGAAGATCCAATCAGAAGGCTTTACAATCCAAATATCGTCTGTAACTCCTTCCAATCATAACAGTTCCAGCAGAGCTTCTTCGTCGACGACATCGGTTTCCGGATCGGGGGAGAGGTTAGAGTCAGTCCAACAGTGAATCCAACATCTCAAAAACATCCTACTCGAACAAGAACAAGTAGATGCTTCTCTATCAGATGGAAGCAGATTCTATATCGCTCTAGACCATGCCCTTCTCGTTCTAGTAAGTACATAGATTTTGCTAGTGTTTCTATTAAACGTCCTCGCGAGAGTCTCATCTCTCCAACTAAAAACTACTACATGTCCTACTTCTAGTTCGACTACATCTAATTCTAATACCTCGTCAATCGTCGCTCTCGCCTTAAGAAGTGCCAGTAATGCTTTCGACGGATCCAGGTCGTGGAGTCGGGCTTGCGATTCGAAGGCAAAGTAGTCGGAAGGAAACGCTTGTTCCTCGTAGACGATTTTGTAACGTCCTGCAGCTTGTGGTCGGTAGAACGTGGTGAACCTCGATTAGCGGGGTGGAGGTTCCTAAGTATACAATTCTTCCTAAGTAGAAGTGTTGTTCCATTTCTCTTATTTCTATAACAGTCTTCAGTCTCAGTTGCACTTCCTGTTCCTAGGATTAGGATCATCATCTTCTACCTCCCATCTTCTCAGCAGTTAACTAGAGTCGATTGTTCCGAAGAAGAACTTCCTAGCAGTGAACTAGAATCAATTGTCTGCTCCGTCTTAAACTTAAAGGGCCTTAAATTAAGTGCAGGTTCACTGACAAAGTGTTCATCATGCACACCTGAAGATAAAGATTATTTGAAGAGCATGAGAAATGCCAAGGACCTACCCGTGTTGATTAACAAGAACTAGAAGAAGACCGATCCTAATCTTAGTTACCGTAGAAGTACAACCTCCTCAGTCTTTATTCTTCCTTGTACCATTTTCATTTTTCTAATGGAGAAAATTCAACTAAGGACTGCAAAAATCCGGACAAAATTCAATCTTCTCGGGCATGATACGAATCCGCAGAACACTCGCCGCCTACTGCGCTCCCTTCTGGAAAACCCTCACCCAATTGCGAGCCAAGAACCTCGGGCGCCCTCCAAATCCCCGCGCCCCTCCAGAATCCCCCAGCATACATTTGCAGGCTG